TCATGCAGCAACATTTTTACTGATACGTCCCCCAGAGCAAGGGACATAAAGGAAAGAATAAACTAATGGAATCTCATCAAAATAAAAAGCTTCTGCACGGCCAAAAAAAAACAGTATTAAAATAAAAAGAGAATGAACTGTATGGGAAAACATATTTGCCAATGAGACCTAGGACAAGGGTTTAATCTCCAAAATATACAAAGAACTTACATAACTCCACTCTAAGAAGACAAGCAACCCAATTGAAAAATGGGCAAAGGACTTGAACAGATACTTCTCCAAGGAGGACATACAGAGGATCCAGAAACACATGAAAAGATGCTCAATATCACTAGCTATCAGAGAGATGCAAATTAAAACTACAATGAGATACCACTTTACAGCAGTCAGAATGGCCATCATAAACAAAGCAACAAACAAGTTTTGGAGAGGTTGTGGTGAAAAGGGGACCCTTACACTGTTGGTGGGATTACAGACTGGTACAGCCACTATGGAAAACAATATGGAATTTTCTCAGAAAACAAAATGGATCTGCCTTTTGACCCAGCAATTCCACTGCTAGGATTATATCCTAAGAACCCTGAACCACCAATCCAAAAGAACCTATGCACCCCAATGTTCATAACAGCACAATTTACAATAGCCAAATGTTGGAAGAAACCTAGATGCTCATCAGTAAATGAATGGATCCAAAAACCATGGTACATTTACACAGTGGAATTCTATGCGGCAGAAAGAAAGGAGCTCCTACCCTTTTCAACAGCATGGATGCAACCGGAAAGTATTATGCTAAATGAAATAAGCCAGGCAGTGAAAGACAAATACCATATGATGGCACCTTTGACACAAACCTAAACAAAACAAAGGGACAATCAAAATGTAACCAAAGACACTGAAATAAAGAACAGTCTGACAGAGTTCAGACGGTAGAGGGGAGTGAATTTCAGGGGAATTTCAGGGGAAAGGGGGAAGGGTTTACAGGAATGAGTATAAGGACACATGGATAAAAACTAGGGGCGGTTGGAAATGGGAGGGAGGAAGGGAGGGTTGGGTGCGTGGGTTGCGATGGGAGTAAAAGATAGAAAATTGTACTGCAACAACAATTTAAATAAAATTTTTAAAAAATAAATTGAATCATGCAGCAGATTCTTGAAAAAAAAGAAAAGAAATGCACGATACTTCTTTACACCTTAAAATCCCTGGATGTCACAGTGGGGCCCATTCATGTTTTTCATGATAGTACAGGACCATAAATATGACTGTGCAAGCTGCAGCGATGCAAAAAAATGTTTTTAAACAAGGGTACAAGTTATGATTACTTCATAATCCTTAAAAATGTTTTCAAAAAATGTTTTCAAAACATCAGAAACCTCTGTTGTTTGCTAATCTAAGAAAAGTGTAAATATAGCAGAATAATATTAATTTAGCACACTGGAATTTAAAACATTGGAAACCAAAGCAATTATTTTGTTAAAAAAAAAAACTTATCAAGAGTAGTCTGAACAGTGTCTGCCTTTTCTTTTCATCACATGACTAACAACACAGGCTGAGCATTTCCATGTCTTGAACTATCATACTTCCTTCCTAGTTTGGATCAGTTCCCACCATTTTATCCTTTGCACTTTCACTGTTGTGGAACAGCACCTTGAGTTCTTTTATTGTGAAGGTTTTGCCACCCCTACTTCCTTTAGGACACATTTATCCTTTCTGTCACAAATATTTTCCTCATTTATGCCAATAAATTCCCCTTTAACAAGTTCTGGCTTCATATATGGAGTATCTTCAGTGGTGGCTATGCTAACATTTTCCTGGTCAGCTATTTCTTCTATAACTCTATTTACATTCTCTTAGAATTTTACTTCCACTGTTATCACTTTTCCCTTTTTTGATGCAATTTCATCTTTTTTGTGAATTCCTTCTTTTGATTCTTTAAAACATTTTATTTACTTATTTTTAAGATTTTATGTATTTATTTTTAGAGAGAGGGGAAGGGAGGGAGAAGGAGAGGGAGAGAAACATCAATGTGTTGTTGCTTCTTGCATGCCCTTTACTGGGGACCTGGCCAAACCCAGGCATGTGCCCTGACTGAGAATCAAACTGGTGGCCCTTTTGTTTGCAGCCTGCACTCAATCCACTGAGCTACACCAGCCAGGGCTCCTTCTTTTGATTATCCATATCCAGTAAAATGTTATATCATTTTATCATTGAAAGATAAGGAGGCAACAACAGCTGCATACTTTGCTGTCTGTATGTGAGCTGAATTATCAGCACAGAGTGACAACTGCTGACATATTTGAAAAGAAGTGACATGATTAATTACTGATCATGATGCACATCTGTTACATAGTGCTTTGTGGACAGAAAGTTAGGAATGAATTTATGCTTTATGTAATTACTCGTAGTTAATATGTCATGATTACTGAAATTTCAATTGCGTTGTTGAGGGGTGGTTGATATTTAACTAAACACAGTAACTGAAATTTGTGCATACTGGAGCCATGCAAAGTGAGGACTGCCTGTACTTGCAGTGTCCCAAAATGCGTAAAATTCCCATTTAGTGTACTTAGCATTGGAAGAGGAAGGAAAATTAGTTAATTCTTTGGCTTTCTTGGTTTCTTCAGAAACCTCCTCTATTAATTCCAATAACTGTGATGAAGAAATCAAAGAAATATTCTTTGATTGCCACTTACGTAGGCTTATTTTAAATTAAATTACCCTGTGGCAGGTAGATAAATCAGTGAATTTCAGAATAGAACTTGGTTGAGTAATATTTGATATTCTTTTAAGATAAAATCAAAGTTTTATATAATTCTCCATAGTTTTAATCATTTAACTTTACTTTTTCATATCTTTGCATATTTTTAGTTGTTGCTTTTCTTATACTCAGAATAAAAAAGCCAGATCAAATGTTAAGTATACCCAATATCCTAAGATGAGTTTCTTCTACTCCCAAGAGGCTCATTTTAAAGGCCTGCTTGCATTTAGTCTCCTGGAGGGATAATGACAAATGTAGGGATACAAATTATACAACTGGACCTCTAACCTCTTTTTGGCATTATCTCTTAAAATGTCTAATAATGGTTCATCTAATTTCAGAAATATTCATTTCTGCAGTCTCTATATCAAAGATAGCAGAATAATCTTGTGAAGGTACTCATTACTTTTACAATCATAGAGTTTTTTGACATATTTATTCAGTGATGGCGATAACTATGTTCTACTTTGATTTTTATAATAACCACTTCAAGTCTAGTGGAAGAAACAGGAACATAAATATATAATTCAAATATAGGTTGGTAAGTGGCAGAGGGTAGTCACAAAATGGTGCAGACTATTAGAGAAACACCAAACCTAGCTTTGAGGAAAATAAGGAAGGTCTGGCAGAGCTACTTCTGAGAGACTGCAGGAATTACCTTAGCAAAGAAGGGAGGATGGATGGTTCTTGCAAGAACCTCAGGTTCAAAGACTTAGAGACAAGATAAAAAGAATGATGTAGCCCTGGCTGGTGTAGCTCAGTGGATTGAGTGCAGACTGCAAACCAAAGTATCGCAGGTTCAATTCCCAGTCAGGGCACATGCCTGGGTTGCAGGCCATGACCCCCAGCCAACCACACATTGATGTTTCTCTCTCTCTCTCTTTTCCCCTCCCTTCCCTCTCTAAAAACAAATAAATTAAATTTTTAAAAAAGAATGCTATAAAAAAAAGAATGATGTATTCGAGAAACCAGAAGAAGTCCTATGGGACTTCTAATGGGAGAGCTGAAGCTGGAGAGGTAAAATCTAAGCCACACTAAAGACCTTTACCATGATAGAAACAGAGAAGCAAAGAACTTTTTACATAAGAGTAAAATGTTGTGATTTGCATTTTAAGAAAATCATTTCAGTAGCTGCTGTTAGTAGATGAGATAGAGGCAGTGAAGAAGACAGAGACCAGCTGAGACATGAAACAGGCTCAATGTTTAAGTTATCAGCAGTGGGAATTGAGAGATTTGAGAGGATTCTAGAGGGATTAAGGAAATAGAATCAAAGAGCATTGTGACTACTTTTGGATATTCCAGGTGACTCAGTTTCCTAGTTTGGACAACTGGGTGGTTGCATTAAATAAGATATATAATAAAGGAGGAAGGTCAAATTGGAGAGAAAAATTATAATTAATTTGGAAATTTTTTGACTTTGAAAGGAATGTAAGGCCTAGAATGAGATTGCCTAAGATTAGAACTGTGCTGTGTTTTGTTTCTGCCCTTTGGATGGCCTGCGGCAGTTAAATCTTGTAAGCAATCAACCAGGTGGGGAGGGCAATGGCATTAGTATCACTCAGCACAGGGAAGCAATGTGCAGGACTCTATGGAGACAATCAAAGTGTAGCCTCCTGTTGGATAATATATTGACAGTTTTATTGTCTAGGACAAAGAATATAAATAGCCCCATTCTAATCATGTGTCTGAATGAAATGGCTAGGGAAGGTGGTCAGGGCTTGTTGAACCAAAAGTGACAGATGTCTTAAAGTATTAGACTATATTTTAGATGGTCCATGGCCATAGAAGTAACAACAAATGAATAAAAACAAAGTTGAAGGACTTCTGTAAATAATCCTGTGCCAGTTTCTGGAAGAAGTACCTAGAATAGGAGACTTGACCTTTTAGCTGCCAGGGGTGTCCAACCTTTTGTCATCTCTGGGCCACACCAGAAGATAAAGAGTTGTCTTGGGCCACACATTAAATACATTGTAACATGTAATCACAAAAGAATCCTCATAATGTTTTAAATAAATTTATTATTTGTATTGGACCACATTCATAGCCATTCTGGATTGTATATGGCCTGCAGGCCACAGGTTGGACACCCCTGTAGCATGTCCAAAAAATATGCCCCAGTTGCTGACTACTAAAGCGCCTCACCAGGATCACAGGTCAAAATGCCTAACATTAAAAGCCATACAACCCACTTCTTACCTTTTCCCAAATGTAAACAAGAAAATAATCAAAACCATTTTTAGCTTACATGGAAGAATATCTTGATATCTGTTTTTGTCTCTGTTGCATCGTTCATTGCCAGAGTTGTATTCACAAGGCAGATTCTTATATTCTAAAGCCTTTAAAGGTAAGAAATATAAGTCATATATTTAATATAACAAAAAACACCTGCCTTTGTTTAGTGTTCATGATCCTTAACACTCTATGTGACATGACCTTATGTTAAATGTTGTATGATAAGTGGAGAAATCAAACCCCATTTAAAAAGTACTATATAAAGATCTCAAATTTGATATGTCAATCAACTAGTTCCTTGATGAAGAAATGTTAAACTCTTATAGATTCTTTTCTTGCTTGAACTTCATTACTCTTCAATTTTCCTTAAAAGAATAGCCAATACAGAATATTTATTTCTTAAGACCTCTCCATAAATCTACCATTTTATAGACAAAAAAAATAGAATAACAGCAACAAAAATATATAAACATTTAAACAAAACATATAAATAATCTCAAAGTTTATTCCTTACCCCATAAAGAAATTACAGCTAGGACACCAATTAAAGAATTCTTCCTTTCAAAAAAATTATCTGCCAAATGTAAATTCAATAAACATTTATTGAATGTTCAGTATGTACTTAGCAGTCTTCTAGATATTAACGTACAGAAATGAATCTCAATCTAAAAATGGCTTCACCCTAAAGGAGTTAAAGAGAAGCTAGAGAGATGGACATGTGAACAATGTACAAAGATACCAGTATAAATGACACCACCAGATTGTACCTGAAGGTATGGGAAAGTTCCTAGAAAGTCTGTGTGTGTGTGTGTGTGTGTGTGTGTGTGTGTGTGTGTGCACGTGCATGCACGCTTGCACGTGCGTGTGTATGTAAGGAAAGAAGAGCGAAGTGACTGGCTATCATTCCAGGTTAAAAGACAGGAATAAAGGCATGGAGGCATAGGTGTTCTCTCAGGGAAACAGTGAAAAATATGTAACAAGAGCACCAAGCACGCGACCTAGCCCAAAGGAAACTATAACTACCTGGAAGGCCTTGTTTCATAAAGGCCTTCAAAAGAAATTGTGATATATCTAGTCCTACTCTATAGAATATTGATGGATAAAGCCTTAAAGCCTTCATGTTTTAAAAGTTCTTCAGTAACTCTTAGCTGCCAACTTGGCACCACTGGTCTATAAATAGGTACTGGCAACTCCTGCAATGGGGAATGAGGAAAAAAATTTGTAGGAAGATGGGAAGAATTTTGTAAAATAAGATTAATCAGGAAAGACCAGAATTAACAGATGGTAAAAAATAATATAAAGCTATGCTAATTAAAACAATTTGGTACCAGTCTATGAATAAACAAATGAATGGAAAAAGACCGAGAACAAATTAAAATGTATGTAGGACTTCAGTAGATGATAAAACTGGCATTTTACATCACTGAAGAGAAGTTTCCAGAGAATCCTTGGACTATTAGGTAGCTATATAATGCTGGATCCCTACCAAATACCTTATAATGAATTAAATTCTAGCTAGATCAAAGATTTACATTTTAAAAATCATCAAAATATTAGGAAAAAACATGAAATTATTACAACCCTAAAGTGAAAGTGGAATTCATAAAAGACACAGAAAACCCTGAAGCCCAGAAAGAAAACCTTGCCATATGTGACAATTAAAAATTAGTTATTTTTTCTTAGTAAATATGTGCACACACATGTGTATAATGCAAACATCAAATTGGAAAAGTTTACCATATATAACACATACAAAAGGGATAATTTACTCATGTAAAGACTTATTAATGGATGAGTAAAAGAATAAGTAAAATATTGGGCAGAGAATTGGAACTAGCAGTGCACTAAAAATAAACATGAAAGGCTTAATGAAAAGCACATGGAAAGCTATTCCTTTGTTCTCAAATAAAGAACTGCCAATTATATCGTCAATAAGGAATCATTTGTCATTTAAGAAATGAGCAAATATCTAAAAATTTGATAACACAAAATATTGTTTGCCTTTCTTTCTAGGAATTTGTTCTAAAGAATATGTACACATATGCACAGGCATATGAAGAAGGGTGAATGTTGTTCAGAATAGTCAAAACAAGAATAATCTAAATATCCATCATAGGTGACTATTTAAAGATCTTTATTCAGATAACAACCATGCAGCACAAAAAGAATGAGCTAGAACTATATGTGCTGATAATATATTTGGGAATTATTTCTTATGTGGAAAATGTTTTAAAAGGAAAGGAAGGGTAGAAAAGTAAGTAAAGTATATGCTAACAATTTTCCTATTAGTCTATATGAGAAACTTACTAGTGGAAAGGGGGCCTAAAACAAGTCAAGGGAGAAGAAGGAGATTTTATCCATTTTATAATCTTTTATGCTATTTGACTTTTTTTTTACCAGGTACACCTATAAATTCTAAAACAAACTTAATATTTAAAAATAAATGTAATTTAATGGGGGAAAGATGGGGAAGGGTCAAATCAAGGAAAATGTATAAGAACCCATGGACAAGGACAATGGGCAGAGAAGATTGAATGTGGAAGAAGGGGGATAGGTAGGGCAGGGGAGAGATATGGGGGAAATGGGGACAACTGTAATTGAACAACAACAAAAAATTTAAAAATAAAATGAATGTAATTTAAAAAAAAATGTATGTACTCAATCTTAAAAAAAAAAGAAAAGAAACCCTCTGATACAGATGTGGAAAAAGAAATAACATATAGACTTTTGTTAAGACTAAAATATTTACCATAAATTCCTGGATGATTTCATGTTCTTCTACTTTTTTCTGAAGCATTTTAAAACAATCCTTGATAGCTGATTTCTCATGAAAACTGAATATTAATGGCTGAACCTGAGCCAACTGAGCTAACTCCCTTTCAGAAACAATTTGTATACCTAAGAGAGAGAAAAATTCACATTTGTAACTTATTTGTATGTATGTAAAGGGAGATTTTATTGTTGTTGTTGCTGTTTTCTCCTAAATAAAGGCACAGTCACTTAAGGATTAATGGAAGTTTATTTTTTCAGGGGTGAAGCGTCTATTACTTTGAAAGAAAGTATCCTTGTTTTGGAAAAATTGTAACTATGTACCTTGCAATTACATAAAACCCATGGTTCTTGGAGAAAACTATAAGTGCTGTAAGCATAACAGATGCACTAGACCTGCACTGTAAGTGCTCTGTTGTGCAATGTGAATTGGGCCTATGTACTGACAATTACATCAAAGCAAGCATGCACAAGATCTGTACAGGAAAAGAGAGAACCTTTTCCTTCCTGGAACCAAGTGTTTGCAAGTCTGAGGTTAAAGGATGTGGAGAGTCTAACACACTCTTCCTTCTACAACAAATCAAGCACACATATATACATGTGCACATACATGTACACATGTACAACACAAATGAATAAAGAGGATCTATATGATGTGATCAATAAAGCTAAAAATAGATATATAATATTATAATTACATATATATTATATAGTTACACACTTAGAATACAATAGTTTCTATTTAATAGTACACATAGAAATTTCTTTTTTAAATGACGATCTTTTAGATCATGTTGACAGTCTAGATTCCACATATATGAAATTTTATAGATTTTATAGATTTACTTCACAAATCACTTTTGACATGCTTGATCATCATAGCACCTACTCCTGCACAAATCTTTTTCTTTGCATTTCAGTTGTGTTTTTAACCTTTCTTGAAATAATAAAGCATAATATGCCAAAATGTTATGTATTTTCTCCCATCTTCAATATTAAAATGGTTGCAAAAAATTTACCAATTTTGATGTTTTTTTAATGCACACTGACAGCTGTCACAGTAAAATCTAACAAAATTTTTTTTGTTTGAATGAATTTAAAGACAACTAAGTACTCCTACAGCATCTTATGGAAAAAAACTAAACAAACTTTTCATCCAACCCTAATAAAATCAAGTTAATACCAGCAAAAAGTATATTAGAAGCAATTAAGCAGAATAATGGGCATTTAAAAATATGGAAATTTCTGAAAACCTGCACAGTATTGGTAAACTCATCTTTTCTTGGAATACTACTACACCTAAAAGCTTTCTGTAAGGTTGGGAGTGAGGGATTTTGGATTGAGAGAGACATTCACAGAAATCTTAAAATTTTTCACAGATATCTCTAACTGTAGTATGAGATGAGGTCTAGGAAGCTCAGAAGGAGAGATAAAATACCCACAAGAGCAGAAGCCACTTTGTCATCTTTGACGCCCAACAGAAAAACACTTAGAGCTTTTCATTGTATTCTAGCCTTGCTGGGGGAAAAGAAAACGTTGAGCAAAGGCAGAAAGGAAAGAAAAGACAAGGTAGAATGATTGCAATGGACACTGTTGTTGACTCCTCAACACTGATTCTACCCTGATGGTTAGTTAAAGCCTTTTGTGATCATTCCACAACAATTTATTTGCCAGTGAACAATTCAGGAATAGGTAGGTGATTCGGGCCAGTCAGAAGCAAGGAGAAGTTTATTCAGGGCTAATGGGCAAGAGAATCTAGCCTCTGTCCCACTTCCATCCCCTGCCTAGACTTAAGCACAGAAACATACGGCCCTGATTATCATAGGCAGCCCTATTGTGGCCATAAAAAGAATGAGCTGAGTATAGCAAATATGAAAAAAATAAAGAATTTATGTTCTTGATAAGATCACTGAGCAACTAATCATAGTGAACCTGGCACAGCTCCTACCTCTGATCTCCATTATAGAAAAAAATATATTTCTTTATTGTTAACATCATTTTGAATTTGTTTTCTTTTTATTGCAGCCTGGTTGAAGTATTCCAACAATCTGTATAGGTCAGGCTTCACTGTAGGTAATGTAAACCATTACAGAGAGATGTTATCTAGCTAGCTAGTGCTGACAACATCACTGGGTGGGTTTAAAGATCATGTGTTTCCCCTATTATGACCCAAAAATAACACTATAGAATAGTCTGACATGAAAAGTGCTACCTTTGCCAGGAGGAGGAATCTGAGGAAGCTGGACACTACAGCTCTAACTCCTGTTTCCTGGATGACACTACCTTAGCAACTATGGAGAACTTAAAAATTTACCACCACAGCCATTGGCTCTAGTAATGTGCCACCTTAGCTGCAATGAAGCACCAGAAATGCTGTGCCTGCTATAGTGTGCACCAGCAACATAGATGCTTCTCTACACATTTAAGTCTTGGCTAAGTGCATATGATTGGTCAAACCATATCTATCAGGATGTCAGAAATGCAATTTTTTTGTTTTCCTGCCTGAGTCATACAGGCAGGTACATGAGGTAGAGGGTATATTGAATCCTGAGTAAGCTGATCTACAACATGTGTGACAAAGCAATTCAACCACATCCTTTCAGTTTTCTGCTCCTTGTCCTTCATCCTTTGGCACATGTCATTGTCCTTGGGCAAAATCCAGCTGTTAAAATGTCATTCACATAAAGAAAGATTTTAAATTCAAGTTAAATGGAATGAGAGTCAAGAAGAATTCATTCATGCTTAATTAGCAAAATCAAACAGATGTAGAACTAAACATGTTACTGAACAAGATGGAAATAAAACATGAGGTGTGGAAAATAATGAGAAATGCAATACAGCATGCAACATATTTAAGCCATTCTGAATGAAACATAAATTGTAGCTACACCACCTTAGAAATAAGTAATAAGAATATGAATTATTTAGAATAATAAGACAAAATGAGATAAAAACAACAGAATAAGGTGAAAATTTTATACATGTAATAAAATAAATTAAAGGTCAAAAGTACATGATTATAGAACTAATAATTAAATTAAATACTGTAATCAATAAAGTAGACAAAAATTAACTTATTTATAGGACAAAGATGTGTGTATAAATTAATGAAAAAAAGAAAAGGGGGGAAAACTAAAGATAATGCATATAAAGACCTCATCAGAAGCTCAGAAGAAAAACTAGAGACAAGGTGTGGAACTCAGGAAACCCTCCTTCGTGGTGCAAACTTGAACAGGGGAACAGCAGCTTCTGCAGGAAAGGCATGAAGCCCCAGCCAATTGCTTTCCTCCTATCTTCCTTAGGAATCAAAAGCATAATAAGTTGGAAAACTACCCTTTTTTCCAAACCCTATTACCCTCAAAATATAGGTTAAGACCTTCAACATTGGGGATAGAGAAGGTAGAAAAGCATACTGGGCTCTGACCATAACATATCTTCTACCCTTGAAGAAAGGGCAGAATAACTGAGGAGGCACCATCCCAGGGACATGTACACAAATAAGGTTGATCAAGGACAACAGAGCATGCTACTCCTATCTACAACCAAATCAGCAAGCAACAGAATTACAAGTAAGAGCATTATATTATTAAGGAAAGGACCAGACCATGAATAGAAATTTTATCTTAGGTGCAGGTACAATGGGGAGACCTAAAGTAAAGGGTAGAAAAAACATTGAAGTAAACCATCTGGCATGCCATATTCCATTCTAAGCACAAGGTAACAGTACCAGAATCTGAAAATGGTGGTGCACTGAGAGTTATGAAAGCACCATAAAAACCCAAACCCTGCTCAACTCCTAACTAACTTGATTCAACTCCTTACACTGAAGGCCTACTCATTCCTATTTACCTCAGTCTCTAGAACATAAGATCTGGGTTTCAACAACAAGAACAAAAATTATATGGAACACAAAGAAGCAATAAAAAACAAAATAAAACTCGTAGGAAACAAAGCAATCAGCAGAACCAGAAGAGGTATGATATAAGTGTTAAAATTATCAGACATTTAATTTAAAATATGATCAATGATTAAAGGCTTTAGTGGAAAAAGTGGACTACATGTATGAACAAATGGGGAATTGTATCAGAGATATGGGAAAATGCTAAAAGTGAAAAACACTGTAATAGAAGTAAAGAATTCTACCAATGGGCTCATCAATAGGCTTGATGGCAGAAAGAAAAGAATCAGGAAACTGAAAAATAGGTCAATAGGTATTACCCAAAGTGAAAGAGAAAAAGAGTGTGGGAGGGGAAGGCACAGAGAGATCACCCAAGAGCTACAGGTATATATCAAACAGACTAATATTTCTGTAATTGGAATCCCAAAATTGGGAGAATTGGAGGTGGAGGGGGGAAAGCAAGAGAGTGAAACAGAGAAAGAGAGAGAGAGAGTATTTGAAATGATAATGGTTGGGGATTTTCCAAAATGAATGAAAGATACCAAGTCTCAAATCCCAAAGCTCAAATAAAAAAAAATATAAGTCAGAAGACAAACCAGAATCCTATAGCCAACAAAAGTATCTTTCTGAACAAATGAAGGAGAAACAAACACTTTTATAGACAAACAAAAAGTGACAGAAGTCATTAGCAGCAAACTTGCACTGTAAGAAATGCTCAGCGAAGAACTTCAGGCAGAAGGGATATCTTACAGAACAGGAAAATAAATGAATACAAAGAAATGAATAGTTCCAAACCTTCCATAAATGCAATTTTTTAAAAATCTTTACCTCTCTGGAGAATAACAGACTATTTAACACAAAAATATTAAATATGTATTTTAGGATTATTGTTATGTGAAATTGAAATATTTTGTGACAAATGCACAAAAGATGAAAGGGAGAAATTAGGACAGTATTGTAATTAGGAAGACAGTACATCATTTGAAGTGATATACTGTTATTTGAAGAACAGAAAAAATAGATTGTGAAAAATTTTAAATGTATATTGTAAATTCTAGAGTAAGCAAGAAAATGTATTTAAAAGAAGTGTAAATAAGACAACTAGGAAGATAAAATGAAATCACAGAATCATCTAAGGCAGAAAAATAGGAAAAAAGATTTAAAAATAAAGGTAGTAAATTGATAATAATTAGCAAATGATAAAGTTAAATCTAAGAAGGTATATATAAAG